ACGCCCTGGCCCCATGCCCGCAGCTGCCAGAGGACCTGGACTGCAAGAGCACCACGCACATCAAGCTGCCCGTCTACGCCAGCCTCATCTGTATGGACATGGAAGCCAGTGGGGAGCCCCAGGTCACCCTCTGGGCCATCTACAGATGGACAACAGACAACTTCTGTTATTTCCGACTCGCCAATCCCACATGGCAGGTGGGACATTAGGACACCCTCTTTCTTTCTTTTATGTTTTCTTTCTTGCACTCTTTCTCTCTCTTTCTCTCTCCCTTTTACTCTCTCTTACTCTCTTTTGCTTGCTTGCTTGCTTGCTTGCTTGCTTCCTTCCTTCCTTCCTTCATGTCTTTCTTGTCTTTCTTTCTTGTCTTTCTTACCTTTATTCAGCCTGGATGCAGGGAGAGATGGTGTCTATTTTTTGGCCAGATATTTTCCACTCAACACAAACAACAGGCACAGGCATGACTGCATCTAGGCAGGTTTTGAACATCTCCAGAGAACAGGACTTCACAGCCTCCCTGTGCAGCCTGTTCCAGTGCTTTGTCATCCTCTTAGTCAAAACGTTTTTTCTTATCTTTCAATAGAACTTCCTGTGTTCCATCTTGTGTTCATTGCCGCTCGTCCTGTCACTGGCAATTACTGAAAGAGCCTGGCTCCAGGCTTGATATTGCCATTCTGCTTTTTTTTCCCCAAAGGTCCTTGCTGAAAAGGGGCCTTTCCCCCAGCATCCACATGCAGGTCAGTGCTGTGTCAGCAGACATGGATTCAACACTGGTTTTGTTTCTCTTTTGTGTCTAGAATTCCATCCAGCACAACCTCTTCTCCCACAAGTGCTTCATCAGGGTGCCCCGGGAGAAGGATGAGCCTGGGAAAGGAGGGGTTTGGAAGATGGATTCCCTGTGCACCTACCAGCTCAAGAAGGGTGGCTTCAGAAAGCGGAGGAGGTCCCCAGGGCAGACCCACCCGGCCTTCACAAAAACAGCCCAGCAAGAACCAGGGTGTGATGCCAGCCCAGCCGCTTAAGTTTGCCCCCCCTCTAACATCCTCAGGGTCAGCAGAGAGTCGCAGCAGCTGCAGGAGGAGTTGGCAGAAACCACCAGCAGCCAGAGCTGGGATCCAGCTGAGGGCCAAGCAGGGCAGAAGCACCAGCAGCTCTCACCCACCCCACCGGCCAAGGTGGCTCGGCTTTCCAGCTCAGCCTTGCTGACCCTGGAAGAGCAAAAGGAGCTGGGATCCTTGAAAGGTATCTGGGACTGGGAGGCCATCTTCAACACCAACCTGAATGCAGACTTGCCCACATTTGGGGATCTGGACATTCTGCCTCCAACCAGCCCCATCATGCATGACCTGGACTTGATGGTCCATGGGCAGCACACCGAGGGTCCCCAGGGGCAAGAGCAGGTCCACACTGAAATCCATCAGAACAACCCGGGCTGGGATGAAACCTTCAGGGCTGCTGCTCTGCTGCAGAGTCCCTGAGATGAAGGGAATAATAAGCCAATCCTGTTACTGTCTGTGCAAATAGGTTTATCACACAGCATATTTTCCTTCCCAACCAGTTTTGTTTCAAAGAGGAATTGCAGGATTTGCATTATTGTTTTGGCTTCAATAGGGCATGGATTTGTTCAACGTTTGGAAAGAAGTCAACAACCCCTTCCTTCTGCCCCCCTCACAAGGCTGTTTATCCTTACTTGACAAGAAAGCCCAGCCATGCAGGAGAGGTGCTTGCCTCAGTTAAGCTATCGTGACTGAGAAGAGACAAAGGAAAGGAAGCACGACTATATTGAGAGCTTCACACTAAGCTAAATCTGGAGGCAGATGGACCTTGGAGTGAGGGTGAAAGCCACTGACAAATTTTGGCTTTTCCAAATTATTTTTGGCTGAATTCTTATTATTGCTTCGAATATTGCCAGGTTTGGAAGATCCTTTCTGGTAGTAATTTTCCATCATGCTAACTGCTATGTGAACATCCATCAGGTGTGTGGGACTTTGACTGAAATCTCTTACAGCCACTGAAATATAACTGCCAAGATACAGTTGCAACCATTCTTCGTTTTGCTTTTTTGTTTTCTTTAAAACATGTTAGACAATTAAAACAAAAAAGAAACAAGTGCTGAGATTTGCAGTGCCTAATTTTTTCATAGCGAACAGCTCAAAAACTCTGTTGCAAGAAACCTGAAGAATGTCGCAAAGATCAGAGCAAGGAGGGGAGGGAGGTTTCTATGTCAAATGCAAATTGATTTCACTCATTCACCTGCATGCTGTCATATCCCTCTCTCTGCCAGCCACTAAATCTGCAGCTCCCGCTGGCCTGGACAGGATTACAGGGGACAAGAGACAGGGGACAAGAGACGCGACCTTCACAGGTCACTTTTTAGCTCCTAGATGGTCCCTGCTCGGTGTTCTGAGAAGGAGCACGTAGATGTGATGGTGATGAATAGCTAGCGTAAGTGCCATCAACACCTGCCCCTCTCACAGCCCTTTTCTGCCTGTCCTGAGGTTTTCTTGCTCAGATGTTCCTCTTCACACCTGGTCCTACCAGTCACCAAACCACAGAACTGCTTCTACTAGAAGGGGACTGAGGAGGTCTTGTCCAACCACTGGCTCAGGGCAGGGTCAGCAATGAACACAGACCTGGGTGCTCTGGGTCGTGGCCACTCAGGTCTTGAAGCCTGGCCTTTGGACTCAGGGATCCCACTATCTCTCTGGGCCACCCACCCCTCCCACCAGGCAGTGCTGGGAAGAGCCCGTCCCCATCCCCTCGACGCCTTCCCCAGAGGCAGCAGGGTGTGCTGAGAGGTGCCCCGGCACCTTCTGGGCTGCACGCGGGGCTGCGGGTTATTTGGGCAAGGAGCGAGGGGGAGGACTGGCTGTGGTGAAACCCTGAGAGGTGATTGGTGAAGCCCCAAGCGACAGGTGCTCATGCTGCCCAATCAGCTGGGAGTCCAGTTACCGGCACTCAGCCGAGCTGTTGGTGAGGCTGGAGCGGCCAGCGCCCTTGGTCTTGCGCCTGTGGAGCTGTTCTTGGGAGCTCTTTGCCCCGAGCTGTTCCTTGGGAGCTCTTCACCCTCGAGCTCTTCTTGGGAGCTCTTGGCCCTCGAGCTGTTCTTGGGAGCTCTTTGCCCTCGAGCTCTTCTTGGGAGCTCTTGGCCCTCGACACCAGAGCCATTAAAGGATTTCCCCTGGCCCTCCCAGCTGCAGGGCGCTGGGGCACCCAGGGGCACACTCGCAGCAGCAGAGGTGAGCTGGCAGGGAAACCTCACCCTGGGCAGCTGGGAGGGACCTGGGCATTTCTTGTCTTCCTCCCTGGGCCACTCCATGACCAGGGCCTCTCCTCCTTTTGCAGAGTGACACCGGCTGCTGCAGAGCTGTTGGGAGGGAGCAGCTCAACAGCTCAACATCCCCAGCCTCCCCACACCTGAGGAGAGCATGGCCACAGAGCTGGACAGCCGTTGTCCAATATGTCTGGACAGATGGGAGGAGGCCAGCTACGTGCTGCCGTGCCTCCACCAGTTCTGCTATCCTTGCATCCTGCGGTGGGCCCGCAGCAAGCCCGAGTGCCCCCTCTGCCAGAGGGGTGAGATCCATCTTGCACCCGGTGTGGGCAGATGACAACTTTGAGGATTGTGCCATTTTGTCACCGGCAGCTCCATCAGTTGCCAACCACAGAGCAGGAGGAGTTCCTGGCCGTCCAGCTGCCCACAGTCCTTCAGCAACAGGACAACAGACTGCAGGGCTGGGGCCCAGGGCTCCTCCAGGCGGCCTGCAGCCCCACACCTGGGCAGCTCTTTTCCAGGAACGCCCAGCTCTCCTGCAGACCCTTATGCCCTGGAGCCTTCAGGAGCTGGAATTGTCCATTCGGAACCGGCGTTCTGTGGCGGAGGTGGCAGAGGCTCTTGCCGTGCCCCTTCTGGTCCTCTTCCGGCTGGATGGAGACAACCTGACCCAGCTCCTGGGGGCCTCCCTCCAAAACCCCCTGGCAACATCTTTGCACCCAACCGTGGAGGCCGCCGTGCAACGGGGCTTCAGCGCGGCCCGCC